TATATATATATATTAATCATGTAAAATATAATAAATTTTTACTGTAAAGCCATATTCAATAATTATGTTCTCCTTCAAGCAGTGTAAGAAACTTTCAAAATTTTCCTTTTTTTTATATTACTGTAAAGCTGCATTACATTACGTAAGTTTTGCCTCTTTGTCGCCATCTCTGTTTGAAACCTGCAATTGCAGTTATTTGCAGAATTATATTCTTTATGCGTGGTGTGCATCGGCATGGCTCCTCAGCGCGGATTAATCTAATGTTTTGAGGTGTATGTGTGGCTGTCAGTCACCGCACCAGCGTGGCTATTTACTGTATTTCAGAATTACAGATACTAAGTCTTGGAAGTATGTCCAAAATAAGAAGTTTCACCGGAAAATGTCATCTGAACAAGTAACATGTCTGTCACTTTTACAATAAATCGCACTACCAATGGTGATTAAATCTAATGATCGCAAAATTAGATCAGACGACGTCAAACCGTGCAAATTATTGTTATACTTTGTTCTAAAATTGTTAATGTTAACAACATCTACATTGCTTAACTAAACTTCTTTGAGTTTCTTACCTGTATTCTCCTTTTCACCCTTTTTCTCATGAGAGATATCAGCGTATATGAGCTCTGTATCTCCAGCTGACGGGAAAACACTGACATTAGCAACAGATCAACTACAATCTCATATTTCAGTCATTAAAGTATTGCCTTCAAAACTATCCTCAGAACAGATCATGCTTGCTAAACGTTTTTCACATATCAGACTGTTTGCATGTAACGCATTGAGAAAAAGGCAAGGAAAGAATACAGTAAGTGAGGTCATATATTCACCAATCTTTGATTTATTGGATTTCATTCATGAAACTTTTGTAAATATATGAGTAAATTCTGAGTAAATTGCACATAGAAAGTACCTTCCCAAAAAATTCACAAACACTTCATTAAACCTCATACTTCATAGTTAAACATGTATGTCAATGAATTCCAGTCAATTGTAAACAAGGCATGCATGCCTGCACATTTATAATTGGCTATTTATTTTCACAATTAACTAACTGGTTAACTAATTAATTTGTAATTATACTGTATATTATTATGGTAAATAGTGTTATTATAAATTATATAAAAAATTATAAATAAATGCTCAAAACAAATTCATTGTATGTGTAAACATACCTGGTACTAAAGCTCTTTCTGATTCTGATTAAAATGTAGTGTCAAAAGAATACTGAACATTTAAATGTTTTATGCATGTTTCACATGTTGGGAGTATTTTTTTTTCAAACCAACTAACAATGTGAAAATACAAACACTTTTGTGAATCATAACAGCTTTATTAATAATTGTCATGATGCTTGAGGAATAATATTGTTTCAAAGCCTTTCTGCCATTTTGCACCAATTTTAACCCCAGAAAGTTTGTCAAATCTCCACCAAAACTGGCTCAGATCATCTTCATCACATCTATAATGTTTCTACTTTGGCTTTTGGTGTAATTGTGTTTGAAGCTGTCTGTAAGAGAGTGCAATGAACAAACACATCTCTGCAGCATATATAACACATAAGCTACAAATAGTACTACATTTGAACCTTCATCAGTTAGTATATGAACTAGAGACAGATCATATTAAATCTATATGTTGTCTTTAATTGAAAAATATGCTTTTTCATATATACTATATACTGTATACATACGCACTCATGCACACACACACACACACACATGTGTTCCTCG